GAGAAGACGTCTTTAGTTCAAAGAAATGAACAAGAAGGATCAAGATGAACCAACGTTCAGGCTTGTCCTTCCCCAATACCTCTTCCAAGACCGTGCTGTTGAACTATGAACTGTAGGAAATGACAGTAACCAGCTTCATACCCGAGTAAATCGTGAAGAAGGTATTAACTTCGGGGAAGACGGGTAATCCGAATTGGCGTGGCTCCCGGACTGATCGATCATCCTAGGCTAGCCTGAAGATCACATTCCGTATCAATACTACCCTATGGAATCGATCTTTCATATCGAGTTCCTAGTCGATTAATTGTTATCAGCGGGGGGAGCTAAATTTTGGAAGACAATATTTACTTGTACATTGGCCAGACCATGAAAGTCCTTTTCTGGGGCAGACAAACATTCAATTGCCCTCAGACTCCTAATCGAAGGAATCGAAGGAAATCGAAAAACAGTTCAAGAAAACTTAAGTAGAAGTGGGGAGAAATGAGAGGAAATAATCCGAAAATTCATTATTTTATTACAAAGATTTGATCCGGAGCCTACTGGTCCGTGTAGGTGTCGAAAAGTTTTTGAAAAGGCCCAAGTGTGAAAAGCGATTTTTTGGGCCAAATGACCAAGACATGAGCTACTTCTTCTCACCAAAACATCCCCATTGATGGCCCCACACGAGCTATGGCTTTTCCCGAACAGCTGGCAGGTCCAAAAATCGGTTTGTCACGATGTCATGTCAGAAACATCCCTTCCCACATCGGCATCATCAGCGGAACAGAAGAATTCTGCTATGGGAGGGTCTGTTCGCTTTCAATTGTGAATAACTCGTTGTTTCAGATGATCTGACGGCACCTCGTCATCTGGAGATCACCCATGAAGGACAGTACTCACTGGCCATCAAGTGGGATGCACCTGAATGTGGTTCCATTGGAGAATATCAGGTATGAGTTAGGCATTTGCATTGGAACCAATGCAGCTGAGATGAATCATGGTTTCAGGTGGAACTGATCGGTGAAGAGGTTCCGTTTGACGTCCATCGACAAACCGTCACACAACCGCATGTTTCCGTTACCAACCTTCTACCAGCGACCAATTACAACATCAAGTTCGATTCTTTGAAGCCATTTTGACGTCTTCTGAATTTGTCATTGAACTTATCCCATTCAGAATCCGAGCCGTTGATCGACAACGTAGGATTGGCCCATGGAATTCCGATCTCATGCAGGCAAGAACACAAGGCGAAAGTGAGTCCGACTAACTGTGCTTATGGGGAATCACTGCTATGGAGCTCTCCCATTTAGGTGTTCCTGTTTCGAATGACATTCGCCTCGTTTACCGAACCGATTCCGAACTACATTTCACGTGGAATCCGATCAGTGACGATCGTGCCCAGCATTACGAGGTACGCTCAGCCTCAAATTCTGACCTCAAAACAGTACCCTAAAGAAAATTGCTTTAGGTGACAGCTGTAGAGCTGCTACCAGAATCGCGTCGTGTGGAACGAGCTCGAGTTCCACCCTATGTGTCTGGCCACACCCTAGCAGGACTTCTACCCGGTACAAAGTACATCATAGGAGTTATCGCCTTCGCTGACCATGAACCAAAACTGGTATGCTCTCTAGCAGCTGATGTACGGAGTGTTCACAAAAATTTCTTGTTAAGGTATACCATCTGGAGACAGAAACCACTGAACACCCTGTAGAGAGCTGGAGAGACAAGCCTCAGGTCAGCTAGGACATACTTGTAAGGACTTAAAGATCTTGGAAGTAATCGAAACGCTGTAGGTTGTCGATGAGGAAGGAGAGCTTGTAGTGCACTGGCAAAGACCGCCAACAGCGAAGCCCGGTACCAAATTTGTGGTCGAGTACAGACTTCCAAACGAGACCTTCTGGAGAAGTGTAGACGAAGCGGTGCGAGCTTACAGTCAGATTTCCGGTTGTTTACTTAATTGAATGGCACATTTTTGCAGGATATAGATGAAGATGGTGATACCTACAGCGTGTCGCTTCCTCCCATACCAGGCATTTCGGTATTTACTGTACGTCTGTTGACGATCGGACCGGATAATGAAGTCATTGGAAGAACCGAGGAAGTCACCATGGGCGAGGCTGCTGCCAATGCCTGTGTCGGAACAGCAGGAATACCAGCAGAGGTCAGTTCTCATGAGTCCCCGAAATGAAATGTAAGTCCAATGGAACGTTCCAGATTACTGTCGAATTGGCTGAGCCAACCGTGTTGCGATTCAGTTGGAGCAAGCCCGATTGTGACGAGAGTGTTGCTCCGATTGATGGATACGAATATCTCGTGGGTGGCGCGCCCCAGGACTCTCCCGATTCCATTTACAGGGAAAATCTGATTCCAACCTTTACAGATCCACCAATCCGATCAGCAAACGCCTCACAGTGGAGCTTCATATATTGGTGGTACCACAGTGGCTATTCCTGAATTGCACCCATCTACTCGATACTCATTCCGGGTTCGATCCCGTAATGCGAACGGGCATTCTCCATGGAGCACCGTCATCGATGTGGCCACTACTCCAGAAGGCTCTTTGACTGGTCCGTTTTCTCGAAGATTTTTGTCCATTTCCTCGATGGGATGGCTAATTAACCACTAACCTACTTTGGTTTCCTTACTTCATACTAATCACAATCACAGATTTGAAGCCTTTAACTCTGACTAACATCCGAGTGTTGCGACGTCAAAAACGCCAGGAGAAACACTTGATAACAGGTAGTGCCTTCTATTCCGGCCACCATGGTTCACTAACTTCTCCGTGCGGGCCACATAACGTTCCAGACGAAACTAACCATCTAAAAGTTCGTGTTGTCCTGTCCCCACCGGATGTCTATCTTGTTTGGATGCCACTTGCACAACATTCTAACCGTATTGCCTTGTTCAAGTACGTCATTGCATTGGTTTTCCACTCAAGACCTTCATTGGCAATTAACAATGTCTTGAGACAACTAACAGCACTGTTCAGCGTTACAGAGTCGCGTACAAGGAACGAAATTCAAACCGCTGGACCCGAATCTACGGCTGTCCTGAGGACTTCCAATGTCCTCAAAGCCTTCGATTGGATCCAGTCGACTACTGCTACCGCCTCCAGCGTCTTTACTTTGGCGTACACTACATCAGCCGGGTACTGCTCCATACTATGGAGTACACACTACTGCTTCCTACTGACAATTACGCTTTAGGTGTCATATAACCTGACCGATGGAGATGTTCACGATCCGGGTAGCACGATTCACTTCTCGCTCATGCATTTAGGTATACTAACACCGCACTTGTTTAATCTCTGTTACATCACCCTCTCTTCTAGACATTTTTGTTGATTACCTGAATTTTTTGGATGTAGGGGGATGGGCAGTTGAATCGGTTGTGTAATCGATTCGCCGCACGCGGCTGTCGCGGACTATTTGCATCGTCTTTGCAGTTCCAGCGTCCTTCATACAGCTCAATCGATATGCGATTATAATTTTCGGCATGATTCCACTGTGACTTCTTTGTACTTGCTGCAATGACTCTGCTTCTTTCTGCCACATCCCTTCGTGCGCGACGTCGCTCTCGCCGCGAAGCGACAATTTCGATTCAACTGTACCACATCCCGCTCTCTAAATTTCTGACGATCACAACCAAGACCCGTAAAGACAAAATTAAAATTTCCTAGGCTTTGCACAGTTCACTTTTGTCCTGTTTTTTCTGTCAAGCTTGCTTCCCACATTTATGTTCTGTGAGTTCTCATAACGGAGTAACTGTATGTGTGCCGTTCTGTTGAGAATGTGCTGAGTTCCATTCAAGCACCGTGCCGTTTGCAGCTGCGTAGACCTCCTTTTTGCAGCTGGAGTTGAACAACCGTCCCATCTCCAAGTAGGCCTCAGCCAGCCCCGTATTGAACAACAAGGTCCCAGAAATGTCGTCTACTGGTCCACCACGGGAGACAATTCACGACTGCTCGGCTATCAGGTATGTACACGCACCTTCTGCTAGCCGTCAAAGAAAATCTAATGGTGTAGTTTCAGGTGGACATCCGAAGGGATGGAGACCGTGAATGGACAGAGCATGGTGCAATGACCCGTGCCGAACCATCGCAGTCGCATTTCCGTCAGTCACTTGGTCCGGTACCGGTGGCGACGTATTACCTTAGAGTGAGAGCGATAGACGGCAGTGGTAACACCGTCGCCACTTCACCGAGCACCAGCTTTTCCGTCTCATGTCAACGTAGGCGATTTGGCAGAATAGGGATTCCCAAGTAGAAGCAATACCTCTGATCCTTCCTTTTCAGCTCCGATATCTCCCGAGAATGTGCGCTTGGACAGAGTCTCTGAGGATCGAGTACGAATTTCTTGGACATTCCCCACTGAAGATCCAGCCTGTCAGACATATTTCTTCATCTCTGGCATTCAGGTACATATGAAGGACCTTAGGATCATTCTCAGAATTTATTCATCGACGGAAATTTCAGAATGGCGCCCCTATAAGTCATCGAGCGCCTGGAAGTGAACGTAGCTACGACATTGAGGGCCCTGCCCGAGGTGATTGGCGTGTTGAGGTAGGTCCAGGTCTTTGAAATCCTTGAACCTATGGGTGATCCAAATGTAATCCCTTCTTCTTTCAGGTACGGGCCGTCAACTCTGCAGGATCTGGGCCAGCTTCACAACAAGCCATCTTCACCAGTGCACAACAATGTGAGTCATTCCTCTCAGTGGTTTCGTTATGAGCAACTACCCACAAGGGCTTTGAATGCCCAGGAATGGACATGGGCACAGAACCCGACGATTCTCGACCTCAGCCTTGTCCTTGTTCTTGTTCATAGAGCACGGTCTCAATATGGTTTCATTCCATCAGCGTATGTTCCATAACATGCCAACTGATGTGCTAGATCGTTTGTAGTATGGTCGTTGGCAAAAATATCGGTCGAAAAATTGATGCCCACAGTTCGAAATACAGTATAGGTTAGCGAATATAGTAATACTCAGTAAATTTGATAGATTTTCTGCCGGCTGTGGATCCTCCGCTACCAATTTCAGTGCTGTTGATTCTCTCCATTGTTCTTCTTACTGGCTAGAATTCGTTTGAAAATGATCTCTCGTAGAGGTTCTGATGTTTAGCCCGTAAACATCGTCGTCGCAGTATATGCGACCCACGAACGGATTTTTGGTGTCGTTCGGAGTCACAGCGATCCTCAGCGTCCTATCGGTACCTCGAAGTTGGAGGAGGTAGCGTGCCACACACACAATAGTAGTTACAGCCAATCAGTGCTACGCCTCATGGGCGTACCTATGGTTCCTGTCCTCTTCCCTCTTAGTACTCCTCCCTATCGCCCTAAACTTCTCTTCTAGTTTCTTCATTTCCATAACAAATGCTGCTGTGGAATGCTATTCATACTAACACTCGCATGGAGTGCTCCAGTACTGGTACGGTAGCCGTCACTGACTTATGCTACTTCAGCGCTCGTCTCTGCTCCAAGGGTGGAAGCTCGTGGGAACGATCTTCATGTCGAATGGAGAAGTGAAGGCGATGGCCGCGGCGTTTTCGGCTACCGTCTACAATTCCGAACGGAAAGCTCTGGATGGAATCCCTACGGGTACGAATTTTCAGCCTTCAGTGCAATTCCCATGTGGGTGAATGGCAACTTTTCAGCCAAATCGTTCCATATGTGGGTGACAACCAAGATTACTCCCAAACTCTCACCGGACTTCAAAAGGGTCATACCTATGCCGTTCACATTCAGGTAACATTCGTAGAAATGGTCTTGCTGATGCCCATAAGACTTCTTTTTGCAGGTCCTGGACAGAAATTCCTATGTGATGTATGTAAGTCCCGAAGCATCAGCAAGGAGCAGCTGTACAGGTTTGTCCCATACAGTCGTCAGAATTGGCTCAAGCTCGCCTACTAAGTCAAATTGTTAAGCTCCTTCACATCCCCCGTCACATCTTCAAGTGCAGGCACCGGATGCTTCCCATGTACGAGTGCAATGGGCTTTGCCTCCTCAGAGCACATGGGGATGTGCAGACATTCAATATGAAATTCAGGTTTTCAGTTTTTTCTTTGAAATTCAAGCCTTTCCTCGAGACTGCAGTTAAAATCCTACCATCTAGGTTGTCGAGCCTCAAGCGATACCACCAGTAAGTGTACCTGGTGGACAAACGAGTCATATCTTCCCCAGTCGCCCAAATCAACAATGGTTAGTCCATATCCCAAAGATTCCATTGTAACGCGCTGACCGATTCTATTTCAGGTCGGTTCGAATCCGAGCTAAGAACTCAGCTGGACATTCCGCTTGGACCCCTGCCGCTGAAGTCCGAACTCCTCCTGGAGGCGAACTTATTGTCGGACCGAATATTGCCTATCGGTGGGTGCCCTGGACGTCTGAGGAAGGTCACCAGTACTTGAAATAGGATCTTGGTTTTTTAGACAAGGAAATCCAATCATCACTTGGCAGTCAAGGGAGAACGTTGACGATCAGATTGAAAGCTTCATACTTGAATGGAAAACAACCACTGAAACGGAATGGAGACAACACAGAAATCCCGTAAGCGACCGCAATGGCCAATCGATATCCTATTCATACCGTATCGTCCATACTGTAGCAAAGCCAAAGTCAGTCGACCTCCAATGTCTCCATTTAGATTCCATTTTCTGGATGGCAGCGACCCTACACCATCGATCTTGGCGAACTTCCAAAAGGACATACCTATCAGGTTTGGTTGCAAACTCGAGCTCATCCCAAAACCCTAACTTATTGAGGAATATAGGTCCGCATCGTCGTCCGTGACAGGAATCGTAACATCGCGTTCACATCGCCTTGCCAGCCTCCTCGACGTGCCCCAACTAACCTTCAGGTAACTTTTTCCTTGTTAGGTTTGTTACTCGTTACTAATACCGGGTTGTAGGTGTCACCCATCGGGCCCACACAAATCAGGCTCACTTGGGCTCCATTACACGAGTCCGAATGGAACTGTGATCGTATGTGGTATATTGTAAAGTACAGTACCCCAAAGAATCAGGGTTTCAAGAATTTGACCCAAGGAGAGAATTCGGTCGTATTCGAGTCGGACCCTTACACGAGGTAAGTCCCGGTATACCTGAGGAGTTCCTCTGATCAGCCTATCCACTACAGATGGAGTTTCGAAGTTCAAGCAGCTAATCCAGCCGGAGAGACACAGTGGTCTCGTACAGAAACTGCCCAGACTCAGGTGAGCTTATCGTCAACCCCAGTGTTCCTGGAATTCTGATTGTTTCTGATCTAGGATGCTTCACCTGGTCCTGTTGTCGACCTACGAGTGCAACCAGTTGGACCCGATCGGTTGCAAGTCAGTTGGAGACCTCCGATAAATCCGAATGGGCTGATCACCCAGTACGAAATCACCTACCAGCTGGTTAGCAAGTAAGTAATTGGAAGGGCTTAGACAAAGAGGATTCCGAACGATTGGCTCAAAACCGTGCTTTTCAGAGGCATGTGCGACCAACAACAGGATGCGCCACGAACACTCTCCGTCACTTCACCTAACCATGTGATTACTGGACTTCATCCACATTCACGTTACCGGTACGTCCTTAATACGGACCTCCTGCCTGTCTCTACAATTTTACTTACAGAGTTGGCGTCGCAGCCAAAACCACAATCGCTGGTGAGCGTGTAATGCAAGAAGTACAGACCGAGCAGTCGGTACCGTCTGCTCCTCCACTTTATCTCAGAGTGGAAGAAACCAGAGAGACCGACGCCAGTGTGAGCTGGCAAGCCCCACCTTGCCTACAGGTGAGTTCCTGGCTTTCATTCTGGGCCAGCAACGAGACAACAGATCGGAAATTCAGACCAATGGTGAGATCACCGAGTACGAATACGAGGTGACACCGGCTGATCGACGAGCTCAACCACAACGACTCGCCAATACTGTCCGTGGAACGAGAGCTCAAATAACTGGTCTTCAACCTTTCACTAGATACAACATAAAGGTCTGACAATCAGGGAGCTGGCTCAGTTCCAGTAATAGTATGTGTTGGTTCCAGGTTCGTGCCTATACAAGTCGCGGTCCAGGCCCATGGTCCTCAGATGTCGCATTCCAGACGGCAGCTCCCCAGACAGTCACTGTAAGTAACTCGTTCATAAAAAACCATATGCGCCCATAAAAATAACTAGCTTGGGCGTTTTTAGGCCCCACCCTTCGTGAGGGTCATCAATACGGGAGCAGACAATGCCCACGTAGTCTGGCAGTCTCCACATCCACAGAGTGGCTATATCGACAAGTACAAGTGCCGTTACTCACCAGCCGGTTCCCAAAATTACCAGGTAAGGACGGTGATATAATTGCCCTCTTGCAACCCTAAACTGTGGTTTTTGTTCAGGAAAGACAGTTCCCAGCTGTCAGCCCATGTCAAGCGAGAATTCTGGAGAGTCAGCAATTGCCAACACCTCCACCAGGGACCAGAATGCACTGCGGACGAATAGATAACTTGCAACCAGAACAGACCTATGACTTCCAGGTGAAAAAGTCGCAGATAATGAGTTACTAGTGATTTTTGGAGAGGAAGGGATGCCCTTATCAAATCCCGTTCATTCAGGTGGCTGCTCACGTCACGGACCGTGGATGGTCGCCGTGGTCACAACCCGAGCGTACCAAAGTCACCGATGAGGCTGTACAGATTCTCACCATCGACAAGGTATGTCCGAAAAGAGTAAACGGTTAGGAAACAGCTAGAGCAGGACCAGTCTGCGGCCCTTTGTAGAAGCCGTCCGATCACGCACCCGGACAACGGCATTATTTCAGATTGGCGGTACCGAGAGCTCACTGACAATCTCGTGGACGGTACGTCCGGGTGATCGTAATCGTGTAACCTCATTCCGCCTTCACGTCGAGCCTGTAGACGGGTCGTCTCGAGCACAAACGTTTAACGTCGACCGGAATACCTATCAGTACAGGTGGGTGAACTTTATACCACTTTCAATCAGCTTTTTTTGCTCACAGGGCCAGAGTGTCCCCAGTCATTGAGGTCATAGGGAAATTAGGGGCTCTGGGCTCAGAATTGCTTAGTTCCGTTCCCTCCCTAAAGACCCAAAAGGGGATCCCTGAAGACCTTATGAGAAAGATTGAGTCACCATCGGACGAACTCATTCCGTAACGACATGAAACCATCTTTCTCCGCCCGGTTGTACTACCAGAGTGCCCCATAGGGCTCCAACCACACGCTCACAGCCCAACGATCGAATCCTCTGTGTTACACGAGACTTTCCATTCTTTCTGATTAGGTGCCTGCTGGGGAGGGTAAGAACACTGCACAACATTGCCTACACCAATACGTTCCCAAACCCCACCATCATTTCCAGTGGAAGCCGAGTGCACGGCGTATTCGAATACAGCTTGGAAACGGAGTAGTACATGCCGGCACTTGCTCGTGTTCTAAAAATTGGAGGTTTCTAAAGAGAATGGCTTTTCAGGATTGACAACCTCCGCCCTCGTACCCAGTACAATGTTACAGTACAAGCGGCTACCAACAAGGAGTTGTGTGGGGTCGGTTTGATAAGTTTTGCCCACACTCTTTCCCACGGTTCCCAACTAAGCGTACGATTTCAGGGCACACAGGTGACAATGTGGACCGATGCAGCTCCACTGACAGCCTTGGCAGTAGCGCCACGAGTAATCGCAGAAGAAGCCACGTCTGTCACCATTGAATGGGACAGCAGGAACCGTGAAGCTGGAGGATTTATCGTCGAGTACAAGTACGTTCGTTTGAACAAGGTCCTCCCACTCACATTCTAGGACCAATTCCGAGAATGGGTTTTGCAGGCTCGAAGGTAGCGCCTGGCAACAGCATCCACGCCGTATTCCGGCACACCCAGCGCAGACAACCTACACAGCTACCGTTGATGGTCTGCCTACCAACAACGTCATCGACCTCCGAGTTCGTGTCGTTTCACAGCAGAACGAACAGTCAAATCCATCTCCTGAAGTCCGTGCCCGAACCAAGTGTAGTCCACCTCCCAATCCACCACAGGTACAGCCTTTCCCTTGTAAGTCCTGCTTATTCCAACAGTTCTGGAGACTTCATTTTGAAGGGTATTCGAGTGGATGCTCCCTCGACCAACGACGTTCGTGTATCGTGGTCCCGCCCGGCCAAAGACACTTGGATGTGCGACCAGATGAATGTCGAAATCAGCTACCGCATCGGAAACGAACCCGAAAAGGTTATTCCCAGTAAAACCGTTTTCAGGTCCTTTCTCCATTTTTGCTATTCAGATACTGCCCGTGCCAGGTGAACAGACTGAGTACACTTTCCCAGCAGAACCCAATCAACGTTGGGTAATCAAACTTCGAGCAACCAATCAAGTTGGATCCAGGTGAGATCTCAGAATTTCCGAGAAATCAAACTATTCAGCTTAAAACTTTTACAGTCGTTGGTCATCCGAACAGACAGTGACCACCCGTCAGGGAGCTCCAGGAGCTGTGCGTGATCTCAGGGTCAAGGCACTGTCACCAAATGAGGTCCACGTACAATGGTTGGCACCACTCGTTCAGAGAGGCACCATCGTTGGCTACGATATCAGCTACAGGTTAGTCTTTGAGCTTCAGGACCCATATGGTGAATTATCCGCCACACATTCAGATTGAAACATCGTCTGGCTTGTCCTGAAGAAGAACCTCGAGATGTATCACGCGATTTTGTTACCGTCTACAATCACAAAGATCTTGACTACACCATCACAGGATTGCTACCGTACTCGCTGTATGAGGTGGGTAAAGTGTACGGTAGCCTTCTGGTATGACCTCTTATCACAGCCCTATTCAGGTCCGAGTCAGAGCACGAACAACCGAGTTGGGACCGGAGGAGACGAAGGAGGTGTCGACGGAACAGCAGCCGCCCTCATCGCCACCCCTCAATCTTGAGCTCACCTATGCCCTCGAACGATCTCTGTCCTTCCAGTGGGAACCAGTCGACTGCTCCCAGCGTCACGGACATATCGTCAATTATGAGTACGAGATTCTTGGTCAGGTAAGATAATGCGTCATTTTCCGGGAGATGAATGCGGGGAGATGCTTTGGGTGTTTTCAGGATGACTGGGCGAAATTGGAGCGACAAATCGCCAACACATCTGATACGGAGATTACGGTAGATGGACTGACACCTTTCACTAAGTACATCATGCGTGTGAGAGCCTACAATAGCATCGGTGGAGGTCAGTAAAGTTGGAGGTCGTTCTTTTGAGGGCTATATAGTCCAAAAAGTCCTCTTCAGGTCCAAATACGGAAAATCTCGACGTGATGACCGCAAAGGCAAGCGCACCGCTTCCACCACAGGATCTTGTCGTCGCTCAAGAAGGCACTGACTTCTTTATGGTATGGTTCCATGCCTTAATGACCTTACCACCCTTGGAAATCATTCAGTGGCATTTCAGGTGTCATGGCTGCCTCCATATCCGCCCTACGGCCCTCATGATGCTTACAAAATCCGTTACCAACTACTGGGTACAGACAGATGGGAAGAAAAGCAACACGGTGTCAAAGACGAAGCACTTCAATGCCCTTCGGAAAGCCCTCGGTCAGTTCCTTACACTTCCATCTCCGAATTGGAACTTAGATTCATGCTTTTAGGTTCTGTTACAATGTAACTGGTCTCGAACCCGGTAACCAGTACAAAGTCCAGGTCGCTACCCGAATTGAAGGAGGTACGTGACCGTTAAAGCACTTCGATGTTCCGGCTCGATTGTTGTCCTCTTTTAGGAACCTATGGACCATGGTCGTCGTTGGTGATCGCTAACACACTCCAAATCCTCCCGGACACCCCACGGGCGATTCATTTGATCGAAAAGACTGATCATTCACTCCACATTAAATGGGTCCCACCAATTGATCCCAAAGGTCACATCACTCAGTACAAGGTCTCCATCGCTTCCCTTGACGAGCCCAACGAGGAGGTAAGTTGTACCTGTCCTGCACCGTGTGTTTGGGAAAGCTATTTTCTGATGATTCAGCGTAAAACCTACCTCGTCGACCACCCCACACTCACCTATCTGTTCGATGGTCTGAAACCCGAAACGTCCTACAATGTCTCAATAGCAGCTGGTTCGAAGAGAGGCTTTGGTCGGGAGATCTGGACTCGATATTCGACTGATCCGTTCGCGATTCCAGTCATCGTTGCTGCTCCAATAGTTCGTTTAAGCTCGCCCATCTTACTGGACTTACACTGACTGGTTACTTGTTCAGGTGACTCCAGATGGAGCTTCTGCTCTGGATGTGCAATGGTCAGGCGTGTTGGATTCTCAGAACAGAGTGAAGGGATACATCATTGAGATAAGGTAATCAAAGAAAAGTTCCCAGAGATATTTCCTCAACTCAACTGGTTTATTTAGAAACTCTGACACCCCAATCTGGCAGGAAATCGGTGGAATCACTCATCACGATGCAGTGAAGAGGTCCTATCTGAAGAAACTGACTGGGCTCGACGCTGACACTCTCTACTTCGTCCGCATTAAGGCATGTCTTCTTCCATCCTTTCTTCCTGGTCCGTGATGTCTGTGAAAAGCGGTAAATTCAGGTAGTGGACCACAAACAGCGAGTGGGTGCAGCTTCGCCTGAAGCTCAAGGTCGTACAGGATGTGCTCCACCAACGTCTCCACCAACAAATGTCAATCTAGCTTCACCATCCAACGTACAGGTACAGTTGAAGTGCTATACTCGCCCAGAATACCAAATGATTCGGGTTTCTTCCAGGTACGAGTCAATTGGCAAGCTCCCGTCAAAGGTTCATGGCTTTGCTCGAATATCCGCTACAAGCTGGAGTATATTAACGGCACACAACCACGTACCCAAATCGACTTACCCAGGTGAGCTCCATTGTCTTGTTCTGGGAATTCCTCCTAAAGGATTTCAATTCGTTTTCAGCTCTTCGATTGAACACATCTTCGATTCCCCGTCGAATACAAAGTGGCAGGTGCGCATCCGTACCGAAAACGACGCAGGAGCCTCTGGCTGGAGTAACGAACTCGAACTGACCACGGCTGAAGGTTCGTCCCCCTACTTCCAGACTCACTTCCATAGACTGGCACCAATCGCCGTTTGCAGGAGCTCCTGGAGCCGTAAGAGACATGACAGCTGTTCCTATGGGACCAACGTCGATTGAAGCCTCATGGAGACCTCCTCTTGATCCAAATGGTGTTATCACTGGGTATACGCTCGTCTACAATCTGAAATCGATGGGAGAATGCGGTCCAAGGACTTCGACTCCTATTCAGAAGCACGTTCGAAGCGAGACTCAAGTAAGTTTCTGTCTTATTCCCAATTGGGAGCCTTGCTACATCGTGGACCTTCTCAGGTATTGGATGGACTACTTCCTGACTCCACCTATGAGGTTCATGTGATAGCCCATACCTCTATGGCTGGACCACAATCAAAAGTGATTACGGTGACTACTGAAGAGGCTGCTCCTACCGGTCCTCCCATCAACGTTCGGTGAGTGAAGTTGCTTTGCCCTCGGTCCCTACCTTCCCGAATATCCCGATTCCAGTGTTGGATCGGTCACATCGAACCGAGCGGACGTCACATGGTCTCAACCAGACTGTGAACTGCGCAATGGCAAAATCACCGGCTACGAGTACGAACTGGAGAGCTTGGATCATTGGGGAGAGAACATGACCAGTCAGCACTCTACCGAAAGACTCACACTCAGCGATCTTGTCCCATACAATGAATATAGGTATCTCCTGAAGTTATTTCCCTCAGAGACCAATTTCTTGAGATGCCCTTTTCAGAATTCGCGTCCGAGCACAGAATGCCGTCGGTGAAGGTCCCTATTCGGAATGGGTTCGCTTCATTACACATCCAGCTGCTCCACCGGCACCTTCCGATCTGCAAGAAGAGGGCGCATTCCCGCATGCACTTGAGATCTCATTTGCTGCTCCATCACCTCCTCATGGAAATATCGACTATTACCGTATCAGGCATACTCCTTCTGGACAAGTATGTCTACTTCTCGGTGTTTCGAAAACTCTCTTGTCCAGAATGTTTCAAGCCACGTTTTTCAGCTAAACTTCAAGGAAGTCCGAGTGGAGGCGGAACGTTTGCAGTGTTCAGATGCTTCTAAGAGGGATCGTTTGTGCTTCCGTGTGCACGATCTCGATCCTGAACAAGACTATGAGATCCAGGTAAGACTAGTCGTCAGACTGATGTAAGAAACTAGACGCTAACTCAGCCTATTCATAGGTTGCTGCCCATACCGAGGGAGGAGCATGGTCAGAATGGTCGGAACCACTGAATGCCAGGACTGAGCAACAGAGTAAGTTTTGCTGTTTACCTTAAAAATGACCCAACTGGTAGCTGAAATCAAAGCGAGCCCTTTCAGATATTCCCGTGTTGGAACGAGAGCTCGAGGTGATCGATACGAAACCCGAATCGATTACTCTCCGTTTCGAGGGTGTCCCACAGGAACAGGTATGCGACTCTCCGGGAACTACTTGTCTGCTTTTATGTCTTCATCACCATAAGCTCCCCTCCGTTCCAGGCTGCCCATGTCATTGGCTACGTGCTGGAATACAAATCTGAAGATGATGACGATTGGGCCGAGTACAACGGAGTGATCAAGCACCGTAGAACCACCAATGACTACAAAGTCATGGTTAGGCAGCTGGAAACAGCCACGAATTACTTCTTCCGTCTGAAGGTAAGGAACCGCTTGGCCTAATGTGAAAAAAGGGTGAAATGAGATGGATATTTCAGGTTGTCGGCAAGAACGACAAACGAGGTGCACCTGGTCCTGAAACGAAAGCGATGACTAGTTGTGGTCGTCCAGAAGAGCCGCCAAGTAACGTTCGCATTGAGAGTGACGATTTCGAGAGTGTAAAGGTGAACTTTTGAGTGTTAAGGTATTCTACCGAAGAGATGCTCCTGAGACTGTAATGGCGTTCCCGCCTGTTTATGGTATGCTGGCAGGTCGCGCGGTCTTTAATAGCTAGTTGACTCACCGCATGGCATACCATAGGGGAGCATTGCCCTCCCCAGATTCTTTTCAGGTCACAAAGTCCATGATTCCCACAATTTGTGTCCTTTTGCAGATTAAATGGACACCACCATCAGAGGACTCCTGGCGATGTGATGACGTCGAATTCGTGATTGACTATGTGAACACGACATCGCGTGGATCGTGGACGGTAAGTCTTATCCCTGCTCTGATGCAGCTTCTGAAGCAGCAGTGCACATGTTTCAGGTACCCGTGGATGCTCCATCTGAACTTCTGGTTCCAACAATGCCTGGCACTCGATGGGAAGTAAAAATGCGTACGCAAACCGTTGAAGATGGAGCCAAACCGCAATGGAGTAAATGGAGTGACAAGGCCTCGCTCACTACCCAATCACTGCCTGGAGAGCTCTTCGTTACCGTGGAGCCCACAGGATCGCGGGAGGCACTCGTCACATGGGATCTTCCAGACAAGGTAGGTGAACTGGACATGGGAGGAGTGGGTGGGAATAGGACCCACGAATAAGAACTTCACTATTGATATTTTCCACGAGAAAAATCTGTAGTGTAGGTACTAACAGAGCTATGCCCATGAAGAACCTTAACGGATTTTCCTTTCAGGACCAGAAATGGAATTACGGTGTGGACATTTCATACCGTTTGAAACAGCTCGGTGGATGTAACGAAGCCGCTACTGGACCACAGGAACCGATCACCAAGTTGAACATCCAGGAGAAGCAGGTTCCGTTGGAAGAACTGGCTCCGGGAAGCGTTTACGAGGTGGGTCTCTTGAACTTTTACATTTTCCTAGATGGTCCTAAAAATGACCTATCCAGGTTACGGTCACGCCTCGTCGTCCTCCTTCACTACATTCATCGATTGTCGCACCGAAAACCGTAAGAACGTTCAAGACCAAGAATGACGTCCCCACAGGGCCTCCAATGAACCTGCAGTCGACTGTCCGAAAAGACACTGAACTTGGTAAGTGAACGGCTCGGCTCCAAAGGATTTCCCATACAAATGAACCTGCTTCTTAAGGGTTCAAATGGGACGCCCCTGAATGTGTACATCAGAATGGAAATGTCTCCCAGTACGAATTCGAATTGGTCGGAATGGATGAATGGAACGAAGGCACCCGTGAGGGTGTCACTCCTCGCACTACGGCCGTCATTGATCAACTTCAACCCGGATCGCTCTATCGAATGAGGGTACGAGCGAAAAATCGGTTAAATACCTCATTTAGCTCCCACCACTGCTGTTCCTTTTAGGTTCGTGCCTACACTGCCGAAGGACCCGGACCTTGGTCGGATCCATTGGAAATCCGAACCACCGGTTCCGAGCTCGGCTCTCCTCGAGAGCTTACTGCTGTGCAGACTAAGAGTACGGCAATTCAGCTCACATGGCTGCCACCGTACCCCGAAAAAGCGATTGTAACAGCTTACAGAATGAGATACAGTCCTCGGTAAGTCACCCATACCTCGCTGGGACCGTGTTCATCATTGTGAGCTTTTATTTTCAGAGCTGATGATTCTAACCCAACAGAGGTCGAGCTTTCTGGAGATGAACTCTCATGCACGGGTTATAAGAGCCCCATTATTACCGGAGCCAATTTGTGCACCACTGTGAAGAACCTACAACCTGCTACCACCTACCGATTTGCTGTACAGGTAAGTTGAAAAAAATTTCCGAACGATCCGATTCAATTGGGGGTCTTTCCAGGGCCAATCTGCTTCTGGGACATGGGGTGAATGGTCGAGTGACTATTTCTCTACCACCAGAAAAGACGACAACGAACTTTTGGGTGGAAGTTTGAAATTGCTCTCAGCCGGTCATGACAATCTCAAAGTGAAGTGGACTCCGCCTGCAGTCATTGGCGAGAAAATCGATACCTATCAGGTCTGCAACAGAAACATTTTTAATTTGAAGTATAGCCGAACCAGACGTCTCCGAATACAGACTGTCTAGGCGAAATAGCTGTCTGGATTATACTCAATTGAATTTGAATATTTCAGCTGTTCATCTCGGTTGCTAGTGAGCTGGATCAGAACCCAAGAGAATACACAACGCCTGGATCTCAGACCGACTATCACTTCAGGTACTGACAAAAAAGCCTTCTGAGATAGCCTCCCCGAGGACTTTTTCGCAGCTAAGTCTGATTACTCTGTTCCAGACAGCTCAACTCCGTCACGCAGTACAATGTGACCGTTCAAGGCCTTTCCGGTAGCAACAAACTCTGGTTCATCTCGTCCGTCTTCGCAACCACCGACTTTGGTACGTCTCCCAGCCTTTTGGAAGTCCTGTCCTACCCATCAGTACCCCATTGCTTTTAGCCGAAGGTTTGCTTAACTGGCTACCAGCCCCTACCGATTTGCATCTGATCGAGAAATCCGACACTATGCTACATGTCGACTGGGTCCCTCCAGAGATTTTCGATCCTGAGCAAAGGGAACTGCTCACTCACTACAGGTATCTCTTCTCCTACAAAAAACCCTCTCATTTCCAGAATTTTTTTCTCAAGAACCTTGAAATACGGTAACTATTGAGTGTTTCAGAGTTACAATTGCACCATTCGATCCACGAAGTGGAGTTACGGGCCCGAAAAAGAACTACACCGTGCCTGTACCAGGAAATTCGATCAAATTTGAAGGACTGAATCCAGAAACCATTTACAATATTACCGTACAAGCAGGTACAAGCTCAGGATATGGCCATATCCTGTGGGGAACCTACAGTACCTTGGCCCCCGGTCAACGACATATTATCCGACTTATAAACAGGTACATTTGCTCTGAATCCAAAATCTCTAGGAAGTTGTTTTGATATCTGACTTTAAAGGTCTCCAACAACGCTGCACGTGGAATGGGAGCCAGTTTGGGGACGCAGTCACAGTGGTTACATTGTAAGTAAGCCCATGTGGGCGCCGTATTGATTTACACACTATTCGATAGATTTTATTTAAAAAAGAGGTACACCGGTGGGTAGGTTGAGGTTGACTCCCCAGACTTTGACTGGACAATGCAACGAGACTCACCGAATCGTTAGAAGTAGTAAAGAACCCCTATGGTTCAGGGCAATTCAGAACTCGTGGGTCGGCCCCCGGATCACTTCATTGGAAAGTTCTGGGGAATCTAGGGGAATAGAAAAGAAATCCGCCTCTCTGCCGGAGGATAGATCGCTTTTTCGATCCTTTCATGCCAAATTTATTTACGGCTTGGTTCAAACGTAAACAGAAAACAGTTCAGTAAGTTCAACACCATTTATGTTCAGACTTACCCATTGATTTTCAGCTGACGGCTCAATCTTTGCATTCCGTCTACGGAAACGTTCGAATCAACCAAGTCAAGACCTTCGATGTGGAACCATGGGAGTCCGACTTCGTTATCCGAGGGCTTCACCCGAGCACTGTTTACAATGTCACACTCAAACCCAAGGACCATAGCGAGGTAAGTATATTGGAAATTTCAAGAAGTAAATCGTCTTCGCACCAGTTCTTAATCATAATAGAGGTGCAGATAAAGGAGTAAGCAAACAAACAAGTAAACAAGTAAGAAGCCACCTTTGAAAGTGTCTCCTGGATTTCAGGTAGCTTGGGGAGCTTATGCCACATTGCCTCCTGGTTGGTTCCTTGTCAAGAATCTGAAACAATGCGATAAAACCAACTTTGCCGTCTCGATGAGCTGGGAACCTGTTGAATTGGACATGGCCACTCACTACCAGGTACCAAGTGGGGAACATTTGTATCGTTCAAAAATCCCATGGTGAACTTTTAGGTTCGTTACCTTCGAATGAAGGACAGCGAAGCTGGGTGGATTGAGGAAGATGCCAGGGAGAGCAAGGAACTGCTCTGTCCAAAGGTACAAGCTCCCTTCTCTTACGATTCGCTCAGGCCGATACTTATTGAAGTATTTCAGGATGGATGTGGTCGACTGTGCTATTTGGTCTTCAACCTGCCCCATAATCCTAGCGAATACATCTTCCAGGTTTGTTCTTTCAAAAAAAACTCAATTAGGGCTAAAACTACTACAATAATACTGAATAAATAAAATCGGAAATAGAAAATAAATAAGTAAATAAATGACTGGTACCTACACCACGGCGTCGAAAGTCATGGTGTCAGATTTTGGACCTAACTGCTGTAGCCTTGTTGCAGGTCTAGATGACAGACCTTATCGCTCTGTAGGCATGTCACTGTGCATTTTGCAAGTAAATGAAAAAGTTCTTCCCGATATGAGCAGCATCAAGCATCTGATCATACTTCCCAGGCTTAGTCTACCGAGTTAGGGGCTCCTGGGTGATCGAACTGCATGGAAGTAAAGTACTGAAGTATTTCCCCGATACGTTCAAAACGATGGCATTTTTGCCGACCCTTCGACACTCAATTTAGATTGGCTCCTGCTGAAGTAGCGCCATCTATGGAACCGGATTCTGCCTAGTTCGTTTAATTAGATGCCGATGCTACGGGGACAAATTAGTTCCTAGTTTATCCCCGGAGCATCGGTTAGTTACCCTTGGAATAATTAAGGATTTGTACCGGAAATGCTCGATCCAAGCAAAGCTTGTAAGCTTTAAAAGAAATATATGTTCCAAATGAATCGGAATGACAGTCGAGTACATGGCGCAGACTGCCATGGTTCATTAAAAAGGTCTCTGAAGGTCGATATGTTCCATAACCAATAGCCGAGTATCTACGACCGTGCTCGATTCTCAGGATCATTGATGGTCCCGTTGTTTATCTCCCTTGTAAACAAGCATAGTCAACAATCGCTAGGCCATTCTGTAATTCTAGACCGATGAGTTTCCAGTCTACGAAAACAATAGCCAACTTACAGGTTCGAGCCAAGGTCGATGGCGAATGGAATCACTGGAGATCAGCGCCGAGAAAAGTGATCACTGGTGAAACGGCCGAGGTGAGCCCAAAAGACTTCCGGGTAGACTCCTTTCCCCCTGTCACATCCACATCGTTTCAGATTCGTCGAAGCTGTTGTATCGTGCCACCACCGTATATGGTCGAAAATATTGGAAGTCCCGGTTCATGGTGGGAGGTGGATGTGACTCCTGCAGCCACAGAAAACGGCGTCTCGTGAGTTCCTTCGCACCGGCGACGGTTTTTCTCCATCCCCACCGTTTTTCAAGTGCATTCTTTAGGGGGCCCTTTGCACAGGTCACGTTACTTAGGCAATCGTGGCCAGTTATTGGGGCGTGGTATGTATGTGTTTGTTAGTGATTGAAAAGAAAACCAGTTTCTGGCTCCGTTTTCGTCCTCTCATCCGAACGAACACCTTGATTCGTTTGGAAAAACGTTTACGATCATTGCTCATAAGATTATGGATTGAACGTGTGGGAAATGACCATGGATATCAGTCAGGCATACCTTTGCAGGGCTTGTTTATCCAAATATTTTCAGACGGTACTATGTTGTGGTGGATGAACGCGACCCACCGGGAGAATCCAATTGGACAGAGCTTACCGATAAGGTAAAGTCCCCAAACTTTACCAGTTAACGGGCTAAGTAGACTTTTTTTTCAGGTCACAGCCAACAAATTGAAAATCCCTTACTACGTAGCAGCATCGTACGATATCAATACCTTGACGGGACCCAAAAAGGCAAGTTTCCGCGCGGCGGTTCGTTCTTCTGCCGCCGATCTCATCCAAAGTGTATCTTCTTGCAGGTGCGACTCGGCGATGGAACGGTAATCGGTGGTTACTTGAACTATCCCCTTGTGAAAGGCAAAAAATACAACTACGAAGTATACACCGTATGGAACATGACTGGAGTACCGGTCGTAGGACGTAGTCGAGGTGAGTCGGGTGACTTCTTGATGCTTCATAGTTTGTTTGGGAGTACGGAGTGGGTAGGGGGATGTTGTTATCATCACGCGAGATGTCTCGCCACGTGAAACTCGCCGTGCCGAATAGAAAAGTGGTAGTGATGATAAGGGGGGTTTGGGGAGGCAGTGAGCTCGGGGCGTGGTGGTCGGCGGAGACGCAGACGACGTCGACCACCATCATCGCCGCTGCCACTGTGACAGTCGAATGGCCTGGTTGCCTGACGGTGAGTTCCGTTGCATTGTACCGTTACGCGCGTCTAATCTCGTCTCCTCGCGCAGACGTACGCAGTTGGTGGTCCCGAGTGCCATGGTGGTGGTTACTGCCAGCACTATTCGCCATAGCACTACTGCTACCATGTCTTATTTGGATATGTAACTTTTCTAAGTGAGTTCATGCATGCGTCTCGTGTGTGTCTCGATGATGATGCATGACGGATGGCGCATGGTGTGGCCAACTACTAGAACGTAACTGAGTATGTCAACCTCACTCACTTTTCAGCCTCTCCATATCTGGCAGCTGGCTGGCCATGGTGGTGGCTACTTCTACTGCTGCTTCTCCTGTTGCTGTTAATCCTACTCTGCTGTTGCCTTCTATGGTGCCTTCAGGGGTGCGAATCTAACTCTTTTTCTATTAACTTTACCATTATTACCCCTCATTGCCGTGTTACATTCCTCTACTGACTTATGGAATGACTTTGCAAGAAGCATGATCCCACTTCCCCTTCCCAGGTCCTTATATACCTGTGCTAAGCTTTATTTTTAGACGGTATCGAACACGAAAGGAGCACCGACGAATGGTGACAAATGGTCAGCACGTGCCACTCTTGGAAGAGGTAACTAACTGGAGCCCAGATCGTCTCCTACACGACAAGTCTACTGATTATCACCCATTTAGGACAAGAATATGGAGGCGAATCTGCGGTCACTTGAGTCACGCCTCGACAAGATGCGTGGTACGGCCGACGGACGATGTGAGTGCATTCTGTTTTCGTTCCTAGGGGTCCCATAGGTGTGGGTGCTGTCGTCGTCGTCGTAGTCGTCAGCCTAGCGGCATAAATTCATCATACTGAAAAGGCCTTGACATGGGCGTGGTCGTCGTAGTTGCAGAAGAAAACCGCATATTTGTTAGCCGAAAACGGCGCATAAACCGGAAATTCGAGCGCTCCCTACACCACACATACACACACACAATCACCACCGACCGCCAAAATCTCACCCTACCAATCACCAAGACAATCGATCGGTTTGCCTGCCTTCGGTTCACAACAATAAACAAATGAGTAAACAAACTTCTAGACTTTGGTAATGAGAAGATGAGACAGAGGTTGGAGACAACGCTGTTCATCACGTAGGTGTTGCAGAAAATTCTGCCGAAAAAAAAGTAACCCGTCTCAGGGAAAGGCCAGGAGATGGAGGGAAACTGGTCTGAAAAACTTTTTTTCCGTTGTCAAGTAGGCTCGAAGATTGTTTGCCTCATTTTACCCAAAATTGCTACTCAAATGATAAATAGTTTTGGTAATTAAGTTGGTGAGACCGGTCGTCCTTCACACAACGACGACGATCTGCTCCTCCGGCCTTGATAGCAAGGTCGATGTGCTGGCTTGTGAATGATTTTGACGCCTTTGCTACCGGTCTTTGGGTTCAGTTTCACTTTTTTTNTTTTTTTATCAGCAACCGCGCCTTTTGATAATAGAATCTGATAGCGGTGATTGACTTGAACCCCGGTTGCAAAGGGGAATGACAAAGGAAAAAAAGTTCGATAAAGCATGATTTTGGAGCTTCTAAGAATTCTCTTGCAGGTTTTTCCCAAAGAGAGAACGCATGTTATGGGGAGGTTACCGTCTGAAGGCAAGCACGATACGGGAGCCCTAGTGCCCTCCCTTATCAGCTATTTATATTTTTCTTGAAAAAAGCACTTTCCCATGTAATCGGCGCTATCGCTCGCTTGTAAGGGAGAAAAGACAAAACAACATATGACTACTGGTCTTATTGATTTACCTATTTACCTAATTACTTATTTACACATTTTTCGAAGAAACAGTAGCCCCAAGCCCGCTCCCTATCGATAGTGAGCGCAATTCCTAAAAGGGAAATATCCCAGCTGCCTTAGCTTCTCACTTCTAACCGAAGTATTGAAACATTTTTTTCCTAGGTGATCTCTAGGTAGGCGATCCCTGCCCGACCGATGGCCCCCGTTCCCGTCATAAATTGTTACCCAATGTGAATGTGTCATAATTTATCCGAACTTGACTGTTCCCGAAGTGTTTGGGTAACTTATGAAACATTTCCAAGTCATCAGGGATTCAATCGCTACTACAAATCCAGATGAGAGCTAATTATGTGGCGCAATCTCCCAAAAAACGAGAAATCGAACGAAAGCTGCTGTTTTTCTAACAGTTCATGTTAATCGATGTGTTCACACCTAACGTGACGAATCGCCCATTTGATTGAACTAATTCTATGTGACAGTGTTGACGCCCAATAACTAGTTCTAACCTTGTACTCGGCCCCTTTTAGGACAAAGCACTTCCCCTGAATGGGGCTCGACCCACGGTTTACTACTTCTGGCAAACTTACCCCGTTCTAGGCTCCCCGGTACCTGCGCATGGTGAAATTTCAGAGCCCTCTGGGAACGTTTTACAATTCACATCAAAATATTTCTTTTGGAAAGGGCATCTTTCACTCGACTTTTCTAATTAACACATAAGGAACTTTGAATGAAAAAATCAAAAAATTTGAGTAAAAATAATCGAAAATTATACCCTGTAGAGGGAACCTCATAATTTTTATTTGTTCAAAAAAATCGGGACCAATACAATCCGCGCACAACATCGTCTCCCTACAGAAAGGAGCGATATAAGGACATTTTTCTCAATTTTCAGAATAACCCAATACGCTCCTACACTGTAGAATCTTGTGAAAATATAGTTGGGGACGGGACACCCCTGGCCTTTGACACTAAGCGCTAGAGCACAAGGAAGGAGCTCTCTGAGCAGCAGTTCTGTGCTAGCACACAACCGCTCGAGCGTTTGAAAAGAAATGAATCAGTGGTGAACTGGATGTTCAATTCTTCCAATACCCCAGCTTTTTACACGAGCCAATCACCTCACCCATCCCGGTGCTCCTCCACTCCTAAGGCTTACTTGTAAACTATTTTTTCCAGGCTAAAAAACTTTTCAAACACCGTCACAGGCCTACCGAACCGGCTACCCCTTCCTCTGTGCGGTCCAGCGCGCAGGGTCAGAGAAGAGGGGTGTCCCGAAGCCGGTGGGGCCTGTGCTTATTTGATTCTGTCTCGAGTATGAGTACTTCTTCTTGGAGGAAACTCGTCTCAAGCTGATAGGGCCGAGTGATCCTTGGAACAGTAATATAGACAATCAATAAATACTGAACTAGCAGGATCCTTCCTGAGCTTGGAGGAGAGGAAGGTAGGGAAGAGAAAGTGGCTGTGTAAAAAACTGCCAATGCCTCATACAACAGAATTAAGAATTTTTGGGGCAAAACCAGTGGAAAGAATTTTTGGGGCAAAACCAGTGGAAATGTCTCATTCTTATTTGCATTTAATACTCAGTGATCAGGGAACAATGTTCATTAGAGCACCATAATGTTATGTATATTTAGTGAAGGACTTGAAATTAGCACTGAATCCAATAAAGATGCAAAGTTAATGGCAAATCGTTATTACAACATGATATATTTTTTAAAAAAATAGAATTTCAGTAAGAATTTTTAAAATTTTATAATTTACATTTCTCAATACGACGGTTCCTTGCTAAATGTAGCAGTCTGAAGTCTTTGGGCGTTGATCAATCCGTCTGAGGGATGCGCCCCGTATTCGACATTCATTCAGAATCGTAGTGACGTAATGAATGCGCATGTGGCCTATACAATGACTTGCTGTGGCCAGCCGATGTACATGTCGGTGCGTTTATCCTCCCAGACGAGTATTCTGGCACCAGTTAACCAAAACTGAAAGAATGAAAGGCTTGGTTGGCTTGGGCGGATATCGATCCGGGATTCGAACCCCTGACCGTGCGTGTGTTATAGTGCACCACTTGCCACTACATAAGTGGAATCCTTAGACTTAGAAGTTCGGTAGGGTTATAATTCGAATGAAGTAAGCCTAAGTTATGACTGTAAGCTCTATTACGGACCTATGTATTCAATTTATTTATTTATCTATTCATTTACTATTTCTTAATTATTTACATCACTATAAAGTTAATTGACTTCAGAATTACGGTCTTCTGTTTGTGTATATGACTCAGTGCAAGGGTGGATTATTGTATTCATTGCTAATATTGGTAGACTTGTTCAAAAACTGCTGTATATTTGTTGATTTCCAAAACATTGCAAGCTGTATGGGACTCTGGCTTGTTAAAAATTTAAAAAAAAAATATTTCATACACCTCCACATTACTGCCACCACTTGAATTCACAATTAACTCGCAACTACAACTTGCTTTATTAGCTACACGGTAGCGATACCCAAAAATCGAAGGCAGAGGACTTGGCAGAGGTATAAGTAGGAAATGTTGTTCCATGAGTAATCCACACTCTCTCACATGGAGCATCCACTCCCTTGGACACCAGAGTAGGGGGAAATCTGACTAATTAAAATTAGAAACTAGTAGCTAGAATAGACGCAAAAATGTCTTCGGCTAAATTGGCCGCATTTGACACCTTTATGGGGCTATAACCAGCAGTTTTGGGGTAGATAAGGATCTATATTTGCTCGCCTTCTTAATGGCCTTACTTCAGCACGTGGTGATTTCGAAGATGGTTACATGAAAGGCTATAAAGATGCCAACAAACTTGGCTCAGCTAGTGCAGCTAGACGTCGTATGGATGACGATTACGGTAGCAGAGATGATCGATTCCATGAGGGCTATGTAAAAGGCCTCAAGTGAGTTTTTAATTGCATTTTTAGTGCCCATTTAGGAGAATTCATTATCCCTTCCAGGGATGCTGGAATGACTGGAATGTCGACATCGATGCACAACTTGGCACAGAAAGGTCCAGGTGGCGGTTATTCGTCGGGCTTCATGCAGGGTTATAAGGTGCGCTTTTATATCTTTTATGACAGGAATGTGACCGTAATCGAGTTTTTTGATGGATTGAATGGAATGGAGCCCCCGATTACATCCTGGTACGAATACATGGTTAAGTGGTAAACAATAACTGCTCATTGGTGTCTTATGTATTTAGTTGACGCATGTCAGATGACCCCATGACAGATACCCTTGACCATGCTGTCGGTCACATGTGTGGGTAGGTAGCGTAATTAGGTGTTGGTTTTTCTTGTACAACACCTTTGAACACTTGACCTGGGCATTCTGGATTCCACGAGAAAAAATAGTCAGAATTTTTGCATCATAATCTCGTTCTGGGATGCGCCCTGCATTTGACCGCTGTTCAAAGTCCCAGTAACGATTGAATGCGCATTCACAACATACGGCGCCTTCCTGAGCAGATGATCTGCAACTCGAAATTTCGACCATTCCTAATGGGTCTGACTGTGAGATACCGAGCCAGGAGAGTCAGAAGGCTCAGTGACACCTCCGAATAGGGGTCCAGGAATTGTTCCACGGACTATAGATGTGGTGGCGGCGCCTTTTTGCACTAGCTCTTTCCTCCTCTAATCTATAAGAGGACATTAATATTTTCACAAGAATGGCGATTTGTGATCAAAACTCCAGTCTCGGAGGGGACTCGAACCCGTACTTGTCCTTTCCTGGGACCGTGCTCTTATCCCTTACACTACCGAGACCCCGCTTGCCCTCGCCTTATTAATATTTTCATGCTCAACCTTTAGTTTTTCTTGGTCTCACTGTTTTTATAAAAAATAAGGGATAAAGCCTTAGAGCCTTAATCAAGCCCGTTTAAGGGATGCGCCACGCACTCGACTTTCATTCAGAATCGTAGTGGCGTATTGAATGCATATGTGGCCTATGCAATGACTTACGATGGCCAGCCGATGTACAAATCAGTGCTCTTATTCTCCCAGACGAGCTGTTACCAATTAACCCACCCCGGAGGGAAATAAGGTTGGATTGCCTAAGCGGATACCGAGCCAGAATTCGAACCCGTGACCGTGTATATGGGTTAATGCGCCCCTTGCCATTACAATAGTCCTGGACTAAAAATGCCACCTTATTCAACCCCTTGCTATGGTGCAGTTTAATGAATGTCAGATTTAATGAGAAAAAAAATGGAATTCAATAAGGATATCCATAAAGATAGTTAATTGAAGTAATCATATGGCCTTTAACGAATTGCGGATTTCTAATGGAAATGAGGCTCACACGATTCATTGATATTTGCAAATTCACCGTAATGTCGCAAAAGGGCACACTTTTGGAAGCTTTCCCACCCAAGCAATTACGTTTAATTGATGACATTTTCATTACGAATGCTTAGATTACTTTGCGATCCCTTGGCAATCTGAAACTTCACTAACACCCTGTTTAGCTGGGTGGGCCTTTATAGCGGCTAATGCCACCCTCATCACGCAGATAGTAAGGGGATCAAATCTTGATCCGATATCCGCCCAAGCCGACCGAGCGTTCCATCTCTCCGGAGCCGCTTAATTGGTACCAGATCAGTCTGGGGAGGATATAAGCACTGACGTGTTCATTGGCTAGCCACCAAAGAACACTGTATAGGCCATATGCGTATTCAAACGCTCTACAATTCCAAATGGAAGTCGGATGCATGGCGTATCCCTGAAACGATGATGACCAACGTTGAGGACTTTATCCTTCAGTAACATAGTAATATAGTAAAGAGTAAATGATGCCAATAAAGCCGTATGAGGGGTACAACCTAGAAATGGGATCGACTAAAGCCAATAGAGTATTCCCTTTGTGGGGAAGGCATCCAGGTAGGATTGTCCCGGAAGCTGAATCGACGTCAATTTTTTCTTGATTTGATCGGAACCACAGAGCGTCGCCGAGAAAAGGACTTGGAATTACTAAGAGTCCCGGCGTTTGCTCGTCCCCCCTTAGCTCATTTCGAAAATATTTGGAGACATACTCCGACTCATCCGCTCACAACTTAATCTCCCATTACGTCCGACCTCGAAAAGGGGACGATCGTGTAAGTGCCGCCGGGGTACTTATCGTTTGCTGAACCACATACTTTCTTCGTTATTTTAATACACTAATACTGATCTCCGACTTATATGACCATGAGTCATCCGCGGGATTGGTCCAAGCATGGTTCAAGACGAAGTTCATGTCTGATCACCCTGAGCTCCTTATTCCTCCCCCGAATTAAGGCCCGTGGTGAGCCTCATGAAGCTCTGATAAGATTGGAATCAGATTTGTGATACAGTAATGATAATCCTTCCGAATTTCAGGATGGAAATTCCGGAATCTTCGGAGATCGTGTTACACCGTCATTGATTTCCCGATTGGATGAACAGTATCCTGGACAGGATGACTTCAAACAGGGATATGTGGACGGATTCAAAGAAGGTGCTGGCAGTAGGACTGGCGAGCGACGGGTATGTTTGAAAGCGATTCTTCTTTTCCGTAATTCTACATGAACTGAAAGTATGCATGAGAACCGTGACAGGTTTTTCTAAAGTTTTCCTGATCGTCCCGTAGAAGGGTGGGCAAAGACTTTTTCAACAATCGCTCATTCCAACGAATATTACAAAAACCAAAACCAGTCAAAATGATTTCAAAGTCCATAGATATCGTAGTAAAAACATAAACAGATACAGTAATCTCGTCCAGGGGTCCTAGTTGGAATGCTCGCCTTGATATCCCGGACTCCAGCCACCTAAGTTGACAACTCACAGACGCTGCCCCCACTCATTTCTGCTGCGCCGTATATGCGGCTGTCTTCCTCTGGCCGTCTGGTCTCTCTTCTATTTCGTTGGGTGTACTTACTGTCCCATTAAGTCTGCCTACTGCGTTTCGAATGGGAAAAGGTCAAGATGATCTCAAAAAAACTAATCAGAAGATGTTGTAAGTTAGTCAGGTAATGGGGAATTCGAACAAGAAAACCACAGGTGATACCATTCGCTGAGAAGGAGGAAAGAGAGGGGTTCTACCGAATTTCAAGCCATAGAATGGGAACGTCCTGTACCTGGAAACCCCAAGAAAGATTCTCGAAAATTCCTTTCTCATAGCATTTTTTTCTTCTCGAAAACCTCGATTATGGATCAATTCCCTTGTAAGATCGGCACAGAAGTCAAAATACAAGGGTTATTCCCAGTTCTGCAAGACTGAGCATTATCTTCATTTAGTATCTTAGTCATGTAATTAGTCGTCGGATTGATGAGACAGCAAAAAAGCTATTCAGGTCAATTCATCCAACAGCTTATCGCCCATAAATGACTTACCATCTTAATCTGTCTAATCTACGTGATCTTATGAGATTGTGCCTTGCAGTAACATAGCAAGTATATAGAAATAAATAATAAACAAATAAATAAAGTGAGTAGGATTGTAAGATCTAAAGTGATCTTTCTCTCTGCCCTTCTATTGGCTTTTAGCCTTTCAGAAGTGTTCTCAGAAGGCATCTATTTTTGGACTGATGCCTGGAAAATTGCGTAAAATCCATCTCCCCTCTTCTATAAACGATATAATGAACAAAAACAACAATAACAATGCCAATGTGTTCTACCTCTTCAAAGCTTTTTTAAGCTCCAAGCTAGTGATTGAAAGCCCGCAGTAGTTTCACTAGGTGAACCCCATAGACATCGAAAAGGCTCACGTCAGAATTTTGCTCATCTTCAATACTTTTCTATTTCACATTTGATAAATAAATAAATAAAGATAAATAAACAAAAACAATTGCCGAAGAGACAGGTTTTTTACAGACGTTCGAAGATTCGCGCCGTCTTCAGCAATCTTTGACAGAACTCACAGAAAGACTTACGTCTTTGGAGAAAACCAAAGGGGACGAGATCCATTCGACAAAGATCTACCACGTTTGTGAGTATTCGGATACTATTCTCCCTCTATGACTGGGAGCCCTATCAAAATGCCGAAATTTAGACAATCAACAACCCGACTCAATCGCGTATACCTCCAGTGCTCAACAATTGGCACATGAACTCGAAGAGATTAATAGCACTTCACGAAGAAGCACTCTTAGAAGACACTATACAGTAAGTAAAGGTAGATGTAGGGCAATCACGAACAGTAACCCGATTGTAACTGTTTTAGCCAGGGGACTACCTGAAGCAAGCCTCCGAAGGTGAAGGCTACGGAACACTCGGTAGAAATAGACGATCGCTGTCGGCGTCAGCTCTAGCGAGAGGTCTGTTAAACGACTTTGAAAGTAGAAATGCTCTAATTTAGTTGTGTGAAGTTTTTCGCATGATGCATGATAACCAGTGTGTGCATGTGTGATTAGAAATAACGTTTAGACTCGTCGGCGATGGAGAGTCGGACGACGGAACAGCGATCGCGCCATGCCTCTGGCACGGGTTCATCGTACATAACACGTTCGGCGGCTGATCGACAAGGCACCGACACCTACAGTAAACGTTACAATTACCGTAGTCGTTCGGATGTCGGTAGTCCACGACGTTATGCGAGCCAGACATTGTTGGATGGTTCACGACCAGGTCCGAGCACTCCTCATGCTCGACGGGATGCTTTGAGCACCCTTCAGCGTGAGCTGGACACATTGAGTCGTTCTCCAGACAGATCGACTCCTCGGGGCTACACTTCCGATACGGGAAATGCCTACGATACAGTGCGCTCGAAGGCGCGTGGATATTCGAACTATGACTACGGTGAATCTTAACGCTCTATCTGTTCTAATTGTTAACCGCTTGCGCTTCTTTGATTTCGTATGCCGTGATTGACTTTTCTAGACACATTCTCGTCATCTCGCCATCATGAGACCCGAAGTTCCGCCGTCAGTGGAGGTGGTGGCACGACGGGGTTCACCACTGTACCAACAACCAGATATTCCGCGAAAGGTATGTTTCCCTACTAATCGGAGCCGAAACATAACTGTCTCCGACTCCACCTGAGCTACAAAGTTGGCCCATTTCATGTTTCTATGTCTAATACGAGCTTTTAGCAAATTCGATTGCATGTGTGTGGTGTGAACTGTAGAAAAAACTAATTTGAGACGACTGGCCCCAAGCAAACTACGTACGTCCGTATCAGCAAGCATTTTAGACTCAACCGATGATGCTGGCAGGTGGGCTGATGATCTTTTGGAGATCGTCTCCGAGCCCATGAACAAAACATTGGATCGGATGAAGAAGTACAGTAGTTCTTCAGCGAATGTTGGTAAGTATCAAACTCCTCCTTAAGCTCCTGCTTGAAGCTCAACTGCACAGTCCACGCTAAAAACGATTCCTGAGAGTAAGATGAACCTGGGACACCCAAGAATTGCCTGATTGTAAGGCACGCGTCGGGTCGAAAAACCATCAAGATAGGGCATAATAGGGGCCTAAAAACCGGCTTAACCGACGAACGCACCCAAGGCAGACGAGGTGTTCAGCTGCAGAGGTTGCATTATTTGCACGCAGGCAGCTTACTGTAGCCAGCTGTACGCAACGGCACACACATTTGGACAACTCGTCCAAATGTCCTTTCCATGCGACTTTTGTTGTCACATTCTCGTCCAACCCCCAACTTTTCTGAAGCCCTATATTTCCTCCAATGCGTAGGCTTTCGCGTTTTCTTCGTCGTTTTTGCACTATTCTGGATTATCATTTTATCTTAGACTAGATACCTCAGAACTATTGTGAACTAGGCCTTTAATAGTATTCAACGGAATCGTGTCGACCGTTCACTTTCTCCACCTGTACGTCAGCGCCCCCTCGTGTTATTTTGATGGCAGTCGGCGGATTAGGCGCTTGTATGCGACGGCGACTTATCGGTGAAGCGAATGTTGATTTTTCTTAATGGCGCCACTGACGTGGACGATGAATACTGCTGACGTCTTGCGTACATCATATGTACTGACCTTATTTTCCCCCACGGATTGTGCTGAATTCTTAAGCTGTTTGTTGATGACCGCCTAGTTATGTGTACAGATTACCGGACGGCCACTCACGTGGATAGACGACGGAAAGAAGGGTGCGAAAGATTGTATAGATTGGATTTGTTCCGATGATGCATAGACCGGGTGGGTCAAGGACGCCCAGGTGTGATACTTGTTCCAAGATTTTCAATAGACATCTTCCAATATTGCTGCCCAGGTTGCCCAGGTTGGTAATACCGGACAGTCATCACAAAAACCAGTCCCATCTCCAAAAACCCTTCTTAGTTTTGCAGGGTGGAGTCGACTATAAAGGGTGATTTCTATAAATTCATGCCATTTGTGCAAAAATCCAGAAAATCAATTTTTCCTATGGAGATGTCAAAGACGAAATATCCTTTTTTCAAAAAGAACAAGCGTCCTTCATTTAAAAAATATTAATTGTAATATTTCCATAAAAAGCGTAAATGGCAAATAAGGGCTCATTAGCGAGTTCATTTACTTTTTATTAGCAAGTTCATTTACTTTTTTCTCTCTCTGGCATTTGCATTTCTGCTTTAGGTCCAAGTTTGCTGAGGTTAACCTGCCCCATTTTGGGATGCCCCCCGCACTCGGCTTCCACTCGGAATCATCTTAGCATTTGAATGCGTACAGGATCTATGACAATGACCTTTGGGAACCAGCCGACGTACAAGACAGTGCTCTTACCCTTTCAGTCGAGTCAGGTACCAACTGAACGACTTTGGAGGGATGGAGCTGGTCGGTTTGAGCGGAAATCGAACCAGGACGGACTCGATCCTTCGAGAATGCCCATGTAAGCTTGCCCTTGTCCGTTTTGAACCCCACCTTAGGTTGCCGCTTTAGGTCCCATGACTGTGAGTAAACGTTTTC